AATTTGCAATAGAGCCTGCTAAGGTTTGTTGTTTGCGTTAAATTTGTCTGAGTTTTGAGGAGACAATAAGGGTAGATAGAATAAAGAGTTTAGTTTATTGTGACTCTATGGTTGCTTTTTCAGAACTCCTATTATTGAATTATTAAGGTAGTTCTTACAATCTTGCTTGTCCTTCATTCCAAAGATAATTAGGCTAGTTCTTTTTATTTTTTCCAGCTAAGTAGTTTGCCCAAATTTCTTTTCTGTTTATTGTTAATGAGGTTGCTAAGGTGAACAGGTCTGGCTTCATGACAAGTGCAACCTAGGTGCTATGAATTTTGGATAGAGCTAGATTCATAGACATGTCTGATTTTTGGGATTGGGATGCATAGGTATGGTGTTTTGGGTTTGAAACTCGTATGAGTATGGCTTACGTTTTGTGTTCATGGGAGCACATGGGCTAGGTTTTAAGTATGATGTTTTGGGTTCATGGAAGTACTTTGGCTAGGTTTATGGTGTTTTGGGTTCACCAGAGGACATTGGCTGTGTTTAATTAATATTAATATATATGTAGACAACCTTCTATACACATAGGTGTTTTGGGTTCACCAGAGGACATTGAAATAATAATCATGGTTACCTTGAGATAGAAAGAAAGTCCTGTTAGAAAACAGCCCAGGGATATCTTAATTAATGAAATCTTTCAGAGTTATTGATCAAAAAAAAAAAAAAAAAGAAAAGAAAACAGCCCATGGATGTCCCTGTTGCTGAAACCTGAAATTAAGATTTCCATTGTTCATCATAAGTTTTTGTGTTATATACCTTGAGGTAAGAATAAAGAACAACTTTAATGCTACTGAATGAATATATTTATTTTGAAATAAATCCAATATCCTAGCTTTGGGCAAGTGTTGAAGAATGTCTACATAATCCTGTTAAGAAACAAACCAGTTAGTACTTAATCATTTTTATTTGTTTATGAAATGTTCATAGAAACCACAAACTTGAATTTCAGTAGCTTCGTCAGAAACATCAGCATCAATTACATACAAACACAGACAAGGATATGAAGCCTGTGTCATTATTTACCCTGTTTTCCATACAACCTGATCAACATTTTCAATTATATCTGCTTATCAGCCATCTAGGAGACTCAGGAACAAAACAGAGACCTAGGAGCAGGAAAATACATGGAATAAGTCCTTCAAACAAGACCCCAGTCAATTAGTCCCCTATTAGTATACCAATTTAATCTTTAGGTGTTAGAACTTGCCAGTTAGAGCCAGTGTTTGCCATGATACAACTGTCCCTATTAATAAGGTAACTGATGATCTAGTGACAATCATGGGCTGCAGAACGCAATGGCAATGCCTCAAAAAGCCTGTTCGATGCTAACAGTTACATGTAGAGATAGATAAGCAACCCGAGTGGGTTCCTGTTAGTGTTTGCATAAGACTGCAGGACACAATAAGGTAACTGTCCCTATTAGTGTTTGCATAAGACAGATAAACAACCCAAGTGGGTTCCTATTTGATGCTAGCAGTTACATGTAGAGAGGTTCAAGATCCTGAAAATAGATTTGAGCCTTAGTAAGTGGAAGTGACTTCTTTTTATTGAATCCACAGTTAAATTGCTTAGTGGAAGAAGCTTGGTTTTGTACATCTACCAATTTATCTATAATTACAAAAGGTGCCATAAACTTTCAGGGGCACGTGGTGCCTTAGACATTATGAGCTTGTGCAGTATTATTGGATACTTCTTTTTCTGACTTCGGGAACATCATGGGCATGTTCAAATGCTGTACCAAGTTGAGCACCACATCCAACTATTGTCATGGCCAAATCCGTTAATGTTTAGGTGTCTTGGAGGTCTCCAGACATCATGTAATGGCTTCTTTACATTGATTTTGATGGGTGGGTACCTCTATTCTCAGTTTTGAATCTGAGCTCTATTATCATCTGTATATTGGGAATTCTTATACTGTTAATAACAGTATTGCTGAACCTAGAATTCAACAAGAGATTAAAAGAAAGCCAAAGACAAAAAAGTTGCTATGTGATAGAGAAAGATTAGAAGAAAAAATACATAATTGTCATAGAAGTGAGATACTTGCAGCAAGCTCCCACAGTGACAATTCACTAAAACACTACTTTTCTATCAATAACAACCATAAACTTCATTATTTGTGAAGAAAGAATGATAGAGGTACAGATTTTATCGGCAACAGAAAACAGAATTCATTAATAAGTATTGAAGCAGGTACAATTGGTTGTGAGTTTACAATTCAGTTATTGTTTCAACTGGTCAACATTTAGAGCATTTTTAGTTTCCATTTTGTACTTCATTATGGTACCTTTCTTTGAAACTAAGTATTACTGTATCAATTAACATCTAAATTAATTTGATAGCAGAGATGGCTGACTTAAATTTGACAATTATGATATGATTTTCAGAAATTATTGGCATCTGTAAGCCTTGGCTTTAAACACAAATTTTCCAGTGTCAGGTAAAATCCTTCTCTTTAGTTCATTCCTACTGTCTTATGATGAAGTTTGTCATGAATGGATGGATGATGAGAGGGAGGTACTCTCGGACATTAGGGGTGGAATGGATGAATGAATGCATACACTGGAGTGCTTTTTTCTTTACCGGTGACCTTACTCCTGAACCTATTCCCCGTAACCATTGCAACCCACCACCGAAAGTGTTGCACTTAAAACATATCCGACCCTAACACGTCTCCCGGCTTTCCCCCAATCTCTTTCTTTTATTTCACTAGCCACAAACAGTATTCCAGTGACTGGGATAGCATCATGTGAAAGGACTAAAATATTCTTTTCGACATGGATAATGCCCTGCTCTCCATGAGGATGAGTCCCTCCTTAGGTCCTTGGAGTTGGGTCTTATTTGGAATTGGCAAGGTTTGGACTTTGAGAAGCATCTTTTGCTATAAACTTAAGGAGAACACCATTATAACTTCTTCCAAGAATCAGGTTTGAATGCTTAGTTCAATTGTTGACTTTTTGCATCCCAACAAGTATGAATTTGTTGTTGGGTAGCCTTTCATAAGACAAGGAAAACTACAATACTAGCTGTTATCCTAATTAGGGTTCTTTTAGTAGAAGCACTCTTGACTGTTCCTAGGTTCTTATCCTTTCAAAATAATAATAATAATAATAATAATAATAGTAATAATAATAATAATATCATGTCTTAAGGAACCATTTGTGGTGTGCTTACTTAAGGCTAAGGGGCTGTTTGATAACCAAAGTTTCCTAGTTGAAAGACTTGTAGCTTTGTCCTTTGATGGATAAAATGATTAAATAATAAAATATTCTAAGAGTATAGTAGTCTATTCAACTTCAGCTTCAGCCACTAGGGATCCCACAAAACCTCTTTAAAAACTAATTCACTAAAAGACAAAGCAGTAAGATTTCACTTCAGCTGTTATCAAATGGTCCCTTATAGTTCCAAGCCCAACATCAGAGTAGACATTTAGGACACCTTGAAGGTAGGTCAATTTATTATTTCCATTTTTTATTTTCTTGGTAAATTAAACCACATTGGAGGGGGTAGTTCAGCATTTCTACTTGTTTTAGAAAAGCACTTCATGATACAATTATTATGAATTTCTTCTGTTTTTTGAGCCAATGAGTGAAGATCATTCTCATCTACTCATCCATATATCCTTTTAATTTATATTGTCATTTGAAAGGCAACAGTTCAAAATTTCTGATTGATCTTGCATTGTGTACTTGAGACAAAGGGAAAGGGTATAGAGGACAATCTTTCTTTTTCCCCTATAACAATGTATTGAATGTATTATTGCATACTTTTTGGAGGCTTAATAGGAGCCCTAGACATGCAACAGTAGTGTAGCACAATTAACACAAGTATAATCAAGATTCAATAAAAACAGTAGTGTCGCCCATGTTATCATTAACTGAACTCCAGCTTGATTATAACCAGTTGAAACCAGATGTTCCCCCATTCATATTTGAATGTTCAAAGCTCATTTTTCTAGACCTGTCAAATAATCA